ACCCAACTGGCTAGAACTCCGGGTTAATCCAAATATCAGTAGTAACGTTAGTTCTGTCATATCCTTCCCAACTCAGAGGTAAATCGCTCTTTTATAATGCCTAGGAGGTATACCCAACTGGCTAGAACTCCGGGTTAATCCAAATATCAGTAGTAACGTTAGTTCTGTCATATCCTTCCCAACACAGAGGTAAATCGCTCTTTTATAATGCCTAGGAGGTATACCCAACTGGCTAGAACTCCGGGTTAATCCAAATATCAGTAGTAACGTTAGTTCTGTCATATCCTTCCCAACTCAGAGGTAAATCGCTCTTTTATAATGCCTAGGAGGTATACCCAACTGGCTAGAACTCCGGGTTAATCCAAATATCAGTAGTAACGTTAGTTCTGTCATATCCTTCCCAACTCAGAGGTAAATCGCTCTTTTATAATGCCTAGGAGGTATACCCAACTGGCTAGAACTCCGGGTTAATCCAAATATCAGTAGTAACGTTAGTTCTGTCATATCCTTCCCAACTCAGAGGTAAATCGCTCTTTTATAATGCCTAGGAGGTATACCCAACTGGCTAGAACTCCGGGTTAATCCAAATATCAGTAGTAACGTTAGTTCTGTCATATCCTTCCCAACTCAGAGGTAAATCGCTCTTTTATAATGCCTAGGAGGTATACCCAACTGGCTAGAACTCCGGGTTAATCCAAATATCAGTAGTAACGTTAGTTCTGTCATATCCTTCCCAACTCAGAGGTAAATCGCTCTTTTATAATGCCTAGGAGGTATACCCAACTGGCTAGAACTCCGGGTTAATCCAAATATCAGTAGTAACGTTAGTTCTGTCATATCCTTCCCAACTCAGAGGTAAATCGCTCCAGGCTCTTCTGACACTGCCTGTCTATTGTTTATTTGTGTCAAAATTCCCCAAAGTGCCGCGGGGCATCAGAAACCTACCTATAGCTTATTAGCAAAAACAAAATTAATCACGGCTGAAGAATTCAATTCAAATTATATGACAGTAACAGCACAGCGATTTGTATATAACTTTGTATATAACTGGGTTATTTCATGGTTTCGGATATGTATGGGTAAACCAAGAAATGTATGCAAATTATGCAGACAATTTTTTGCCTGAAATAAAGCAGAGAATTTTTTTATCAAACCCATCAATACTAGAGTCATCGGCGAATTGTCATATATATATAAACATCTTGTGGATAGTGTCACCTGACCTTTTTATCTTACTAAATATATTCCAAACAAATCTAGAATTTGTCTCACTAAGATACGTTTGTCGACACATTGTTTAGCTATTGAATCTGGTCGATATGATGATACCCCAAGACAAAGACGTTTTAGTAATATGTGTAATACCGGTCAGGTGGAGGATGAGTATTTTTATTTTTGAATGCAACAGGTATAGAGATTTAAGGGGAAAAGTATATCAAACGTTATTACTGGAATAGGCCATCTGTTTTTAAATTGGTTCAGTTTTTGAGAGTTGAAAGTATTAAGGAATTGTGTTCTCGAGGAAAGTTTATATATGAGGCAACTAAGTTAAGAAATAATACATATTAAGTAATGATAACATAAAACATTAAGTATGAAATACAGGGACATCATATGTCATTCTCTATATAGGTATGTTACGCCATGCTGTAATTTGTTTATATTGTTTTTTGTGACTGATAGGCCGGAAGGCCTAAGGTAATAAAAGAATGCTGTTTCGATAATATTGTCGACTAATTTTGGGTGTGTCTTGTTTTATCATAAAATTGACACCAACATTTATATGATGCCACAACCGCTTAACTTAATTAATCTTTCTTACAGGATGGCCCCATATTTCTTGTGAAATGGCTGGATTACAACATAGCCGAAAGTACATGGGAACCAGAGAATCACATCCCATCAGACGTAGTAGAAACTTACGCTTCGCCTGTTATAAGTCACGAAAGATTAGAAGCTTCAGTCAGTGCTTTCGAGAATGCCGTTCAACAGCGGTTATCAACGAGAAATTGCAAAACCGTACTACCATTTCAGTTGGTTGTGTTCAGATATTGTTTCGGAGTAGAAAATATTGTTTTGGTGAACAAAAATGATTTCGCTAAGCTACCTCTGCCTGAAAACTGGTACTATAAAACCAACTGTAAGGGAAACGGTCTTCAACTGTCAATTGCCTGTACTGTATAACCAGACAACGTTCTGAATTCATTTTTACTGACCAATCATGTAGCCCACGGGCATCGGTTGACCAGAGCTTCACACGGGTGTTTTTGAATCCGGTGGCTTGAAATTAAGTTTTATTTTATAATTACCAACGCAAATATCAGTATGGCTGTATTTTGTGAAACGTTTATTTCTAGTATCAGAGTCTCTGCTAGTATCATCTGCGGGCAATACACAGGGAAATATCGGGTATATGATCGTAATAGTAACTACATGCTACATTTTATCTGTACATAATACAATAGTCGCTAGTTCAAGTAGTGTTGTGATTTATGTTTTTTTTCTCGCATATATTGCATTATGTAACTCTGTTTATATCAAATAGCATTAAATCATAAAAACCATGTTGATGAGAAATTATGATAATTTAAATAAATAAATAAATGAATTTTTAAACGAATTATTAGTGTTCTTATTTGTTTATACTTGAGCCTCTCTTGTCAGTGTATCACGTCCAGTGTAGCATATCGCGGGAGAAACCAAGGGCGACAACTCATACTTATTAAACTTTGGCAAGGAGAAAAGTATGGTTTTCTATAAATTGTATAATACCGTTTCACTTTGCTCTGAATGCCTTTCCAACCTTGGTGTACATTGATCGAAGAAAAAAGTGTATGAAAACTACTTTTTGACTTACATAAATGTTGATACTACTGAGTATCAAAACGAGTCAAGTCGTGACAAGTAAATCTTTACAGCTTTTGAATACAGGTTACTTAACTAATTCAAGTTGCTGTATATAACCGAAAAATCTGTATATCAGTACATGGCCAGTTTTTGAGAGCATTGAAAGAATTCCGGATTAGGGAAGAATATTTTGAAATTTTGAAGATTTTTTACCTTTTCAAATATTTGGCATGTATAAACTAGCACATCTAAAACGAATCAGATCTCCATTTCAATCACATTCGTTTATTTCATACAGGATACCATAATCCAAAGTGGATAATAGTTGCTGAATGTTGCAGATCTTGTGTTATTTTAAATCTAAATACATTGACACAGTACACGATCCCTGGGGTTACAGGTTTTCCTGTGTAAAAATATGAAAAAAGTGCTACTTCCGACAAGAACATTAGAAAATATTTAATATCCCTGGCGCATTAGTTTCGGACCCCTTAAGAATATTTTTTCGCTAGCTACGCCATGTAGCTACCATGAAATAAATACATAAATGGCTTGAAATATGTTCATATTCTAAGATTTATTTTACAAATTATCCACAGACACGATCTCAAACTGAAATACATGAGTTCAATGAATTCGATATTTGCTCTGTACTGTTTTTGTGTTGGATAAAAGCATTGCCACAGTAGAGAAAAAATATCTTTTTGAAAAATGTTGTGTTTACTCAATTTCTAATCATCCTTTTTCTTGGTGAAATTGGGTACTTTGAGAAAAAGTTAACGGTAGATGTTGTAGACCCCTTCCTATCCGAATCCTTGATAAAGAGTTTCAGTTGTTAATCTTCAAATCTTAATTGCTGCAATAATAATCAACTGTTCTCTTCAAATGTACTTTTTAATTCTAGACCTTCTCACAGTTTTCTTTGTTTTAACCAAATCCATATGTGTCTTTATCATACACCCTTGACCAAATCAGAAGATTTCATTGTATATTGACTGCAGTAATGTGTGAAATCATATAGGACATAGAGTCAGACGATGATTAGTCATCCTCAAAGATTGTCTTTCGGTACTTCAAATGTTAATGTGATTGGAAAACACAAAACGAGTATTAACTATAATTACACCTGCACTGATCTAACCACTAACCATCATCCGGTGGATGGGACTTTAAACGGTGGCCAGTGTGAGGATTGTCCAATCTCGCAAGCTAAAGATCGCTCTAGACCTGTGATTTTTCGAAAAAGAGTAGGCGTAATAAGGTCGATCCAGGGGTTTAGGGATCGTGTCAGACTATACAATCATTTTAAGGCGTTAGGCGGACTTCAAAATTATCCTAACACAAACCAGATCTATAGGTCCCGAACTGAGACATTAGCCCATGAAAGAGATGGCCATAGTTCACACCTGTCCAGGCAAAGCACAAGGGTTCTCAGTTGGGATTTTAACGGCGCGTCCTCCGAAATAATTGGCCATAGGCACTCACATAATAAAATGCTGTTTTTATTCAACATATATTGTTGGAATGAATTGTAACACTCTGATATTTATAATAATCATTAAAGGTGGTTATTTTTTGTTTGTGATTTTTAACATGGATATTTATGCTATCATGGATTCATGTTGTCGGACATGTTATGTACCGTGCTATTACGAGCTAGTAGATGTGTAACTTCTTTGCAGGCTACAACATATACCTATATAACCATGGCTGTACGGGTCTCCGAGTAAAATGGTATCTACTAAGCCTGTATTAGTAATTTGATAAAATTACTCATCCATGAGTATTAGTTAATGATAAAGACCACAAAATATTTTGCGGCTATCCATCCACGAGTGTCTGTACAGGGCTTTCTAATATACCAATGTCATCTTGATAAATTCATTAATATCTAGTACCAATAGACCAAATAGTTTTCAAAGAAGTAAAAAGATAATTACTGTGTAAAACGTTCTTAATATGCAACATTTCTTTATTCAGAATATTTCTACAGTTTGTATTCCTGTGGCAGGCTAGATCACAAACTCAACTTAACCTACACCAGAACCAATAGCCCAATCAATATTGTACTTGCGTTTGGCAAGTGTAACTCAATTAATGTAGATCCTTTACGTTTAAATTTCAATAAAAAGAGAAGTAATATCGACGTCGTGTTGACTCTTATTGTAAAATTAAAGTGTTTCTGAATTCAGCCTCATTTGTCTTTTTGAGTAAGTTTCTCCACAGCAGTTACAGTTCCTAAGGTGACCGCGGTCCCAGTAGACCCTACAGCGGCCACACCAGTGGCCCCGAGACCTGCTGCACCAACAGACTGACAAATTGCAACTGCTGACCCTGCAGCCACGCCTCCTCCATTGGCAATAGCAGCAGCGGACATGGCCTTCGCTGCTAAAGACCCTGGAAAGTAATAAAACAAAACGACTTGCATTTTGAATTCATAAGAGGATATTAAAATATACAAGTAGCATCATATTTACATCGTAGCAATGAATGAAATATCTAGATTAAAAAAAGTGTCCGAATAGGCCTGCATCGCTTACAAGGACAAGGCATGGAGACGGTCGTGCATCTCTTAGCTCTGTAGCGACAGAACTGTAAGCTGGTATTTGCCATTGTGCGGCAAAGCGATGTTGATTCATTAACTAGTGAAAGTCGGATGGATACGTTTCCTGAAGAGATACAGAATTGATGTTTGAAAAGATGGGCAAAACAGCAACCGGAATTCGCCATGGTGAGGCGGTTGCTAGGGGACAGTCAGTATAACCGTGATCTTCTAAGCCGTCAGAAGTGTTCAAAGATCCATTGATTGATAAAAAAGAAATGTATTATTTGTAAGGATTTACTTGAAGACAAGAAAGCTAAGTTGATGAACTGTAACCGATGTAAAGAATATATTTGTATTAAATATCACGGAATAGAAGATTGGGAGTAGTTTTTTCAAATTCGGATGTCATGCGGTTTTGTGGCCCATATTGGATAGTGGTTGGGAGGAGACTCAATGGAGAGAGGAAAATAGAAGGACGATATAAATAAATAACAAAGGACTTTGAAAGCAGCATCAGCAACCTTGAGCATTTGTTCAATTTCAAATGCGTTGAATCTCAAGTTCAAACTATATTGTAGAGGAAAGCTTAAAAGGCCATTTTCCACATTAACAAGAAACTGAAACCAAAGAAAGACGGAATTGGATACGCAAATAATTTTAGAGAAAACAGGTGAGAAACAACTAAAAACAGTTTAAATATTTTTTAAATCCCGAAACTGCAACAATATATTAGAAAAGATTGGTTGAAATTGGACAAAGAAGAAATACTTGAACTTGTAACGACATATGAAGTATCCTCAGTAGGCAAAACGGTTGAAAAGGTGATAAGACAATGGAATAGACAAGTATTAAATAGAGAAGATACAGATAGACACAATCTTGTCACTTCAGACTCGCTAAAAACACAGAAAGAAGTACTCAGGAACATTCAGAGTCTGCAAAACAACCAAACACGTTCTACAGTACACATAGGGAAGAACCAAACACGTTCTACAGTACACATAGTGACAACCAAACACGTTCTACAGTACACATAGGGAAGAACCAAACACGTTCTACAGTACACATAGTGACAACCAAACACGTTCTACAGTACACATAGTGACAACCAAACACGTTCTACAGTACACATAGGGAAGAACCAAACACGTTCTACAGTACACATAGTGACAACCAAACACGTTCTACAGTACACATAGGGAACAACCAAACACGTTCTACAGTACACATAGGGAACAACCAAACACGTTCTACAGTACACATAGGGAACAACCAAACACGTTCTACAGTACACATAGTGACAACCAAACACGTTCTACAGTACACATAGTGACAACCAAACACGTTCTACAGTACACATAGGGAACAACCAAACACGTTCTACAGTACACATAGGGCAAACACGTTCTACAGTACACATAGTGACAACCAAACACGTTCTACAGTACACATAGGGAAGAACCAAACACGTTCTACAGTACACATAGGGAAGAACCAAACACGTTCTACAGTACACATAGTGACAACCAAACACGTTCTACAGTACACATAGGGAAGAACCAAACACGTTCTACAGTACACATAGTGACAACCAAACACGTTCTACAGTACACATAGGGAACAACCAAACACGTTCTACAGTACACATAGGGCAAACACGTTCTACAGTACACATAGTGACAACCAAACACGTTCTACAGTACACATAGGGAAGAACCAAACACGTTCTACAGTACACATAGGGAACCAAACACGTTCTACAGTACACATAGGGCAAACACGTTCTACAGTACACATAGTGACAACCAAACACGTTCTACAGTACACATAGGAAACAACCCCGTTCTACAGTACACATAGGAAACAACCAAACACGTTCTACAGTACACATAGGGAACAACCAAACACGTTCTACAGTACACATAGTGACAATCAAACACGTTCTACAGTACACATAGGAAACAACCCCGTTCTACAGTACACATAGGAAACAACCAATTACGTTCTACAGTACACATAGGGAACAACCAAACACGTTCTACAGTACACATAGTGACAACCAAACACGTTCTTCAGTACACATAGGGAACAACCAAACACGTTCTACAGTACACATAGGAAACAACCAAACACGTTCTGCAGTACACATAGGGAACAACAACCAAACACGTTCTGCAGTACACATAGGGAACAACGAACATTAGCTTTAGAAAGAATCTAAGAAAAAACAGGAAAACTATCTAGTTACAGAGTGCGGGACCAGGTTGATCATGCAGACAGGGAAACAGAACTGAAATAATTATTACAACAAATAGGGTTTGAAGCCATTGCAGATAAATAGAGAGGAAAAATATATACTAGATTTGGATATAGATGCAATTAATTAATTATGCATAATTAATTATTACTACAATGTTTTTCATAATACAGGATAAATATTGACTGTTTTCTTGGCGACTATAGAGCAAAAGATAGATGCCATACAATGAAATCTTGTGATTACAAATATGAAGAAACGCCATTTCTCAAATTTTGTGGGTCGATCTCAAGAATGGACATACCAAACGTCATGATTCCAAACCTTTTGGTAAATTAGAAGTCGTTTAGAGAGTTTTAAGAAATTTGGGAGGTTATGGTCTGTTCTGTGGTGAGCTTCATGCCAAGGAACAGCCAAATGTCATTAATGAAGGCATTTTAGTTTGTCAGACTCCTGGTTTATACAAACTGTGAAACTGATTCCTTTCATCCAGGTATGCGTTCAGATTAAATTGGGATAGAATTAATGCATTTCCACCACAGTTGGAAGATTTTAAAGACTTTTTTGTTTCCCTTAATAAGTGCCGTCCCTCCCGCCCCATACGTTCGATAACCACCCTTAATACAAAATCTATCTTCTTCGTTCAAGCATTGTTTCAGACAAAATTGGGACAGAATCCTGGCATCCCAACTGAAGGCTTTTAAAGGGGCGAGACCCATCATTTAAACAAAATTGATTTCCCTAGATAATTAAGATCAAATTGGGACGGAATCTTAGCATTCCTTCAGAAGAATTGTAAAGAATTTCCTTTATTTTCTCTATTTTGAAAAGGGGCCGAGACCCATCATTTATACATTTATTCCTTATCCCCAAGAATGCTTCAGACCAAATCTGGCCAGAATCCCGGAATTTGTAGGGAAGAAATACTTGAATATTTTCTAAATTTCCCCTATTGGGCCGGTCCCTTCAGCCGAAGGGACCGAGTCACGGCTTATACAAAATGATCTTTCATCCATGGATTATTCAGATCACATTGGGACAGAATCCTACATTCTTACTGGAGAAGGATTTTAATCATTTAGTTACAAGAGGCCCAGAGGGCCTGTATTGCTCACCTGGACAGGGCTAGAAAAAATATGTTCAGCTGTTCATCTGTCGGGCAAGTGAAACTTGAAATTCAAAACATAATTTAAGAAACACAACTTTTATTATCAATTTCTATATCAAAAGTTTGAACTCAACACTTGCTTTTATTGTTTTACTTATATCTAATTAACTGTTAACGCGAGCGAGAACATTAACTACGTGCACAAAACAACCTTGTTTACAATATTTATGGTGACGTAATAGGTTTTCGTGTAGTCTGGATCATCCCGAGTATTGACACATGGTGTAAACAAGGATACTACATTGATGTATTTGATCGACTATCAGTGGATTTAAACTAGTTTTAAGAGTGTTTAAGTTGATAAACGTCATTTATTATGGAATAGTCAACAGTTAGAACTACAAATTTCACTCGCCCGCCGGATAAGTATCTGAAACAAATCACTCGCCCGCAAGTAGCTTTGACTCGTCTAGACGAGTGGATTTTTCTAACCCTGCTGGATCTTTATGACTATATGTACTATATCTGTGTATATGTTCCATGTTTAACACATATGACCCCTGTGACCTTGGCTATGGGTCAATATCATTTCTTTTTGCTAACTTTGTTGGGCTTCATCAAAGGAACCTTCCAGTCATATATAATGATCCTAGGCCTCTCGGTATTTTGGAAGAAGTCGCTTAAAGGTTTTAACACATTTGACCAATGTGATCTTGAATATAGGTCAAGGTCGTTTCTTTTTGCAAACTTTGTTGGGCTTCATCAAAGGAACCTTCCAGCCAAATATGATAACTCTACGCCTTTCGGTATTTCAGAAGAAGTTGTTTAAATGAAAAGTTAACAGACGCAGGACGGACGGACGACGGACGCCGCGGTATGGCATTACCTCACTTGGCCCTTTGGGCCAGGTGAGCTAAAAATGGTTTCTCTTCCCCACAGAATTCTTCGGACCAAACTTGAACATAATTCTGTTAAATATGAAAAATATTCCCTTTTGGGTCTTTCGCCCCAGTTCCCAAGACCTGCCATTTTTACAAGGATAATATTGACCAAATTTGATCAAAATCCGCCGCGTCGTTCATGACTTGTCTCAATAAGAAAAACAGACTGACGACAGACAACGAACGCCGCAACACAACATAGTCTCATAGGTCCTTTTAACCAGGTGAGTTAAAATGGATGACAGGATGGACGGACACCGCGTCACGGCACAATCTGTTTAGGCTTGGCAAATTAAATACAAATGATACGAAAATCGGGTGTTTTATACAATGTGTATCTTTCTTAAAGACAAAGTCTATGGTATGGTAACTGCGTTGACTTAGTGAGTACTGTAGGTGACTCAAAAGGCAGAACATCCTAGAAAAGACAATTCAAATAAGACACCATAAGACACATCAAATGACCAAGGATTATCTTCATGTTTACCTAGATCCCTCACCAACTCACTGCTTTACCACAGTACAGTAATCAGTACCTGCCAAGATTCCGGTTGAAGTGAATCCAACAGCACCAAGCACTAATGGTGTCGCCACAACGGCTGCCACGCCACCCAACAACGACAAGCCTAGCTTCTTCTTGAACGTCCAGAATTTTTTTGGTTCGGGTGGAAGATTCCGAGGGCAATTATCTTCTTCCTCGGCGTCAGTATCGTCAGTATCACTCGGTTCACTGACAATGTTTATTTGTGCTCGTTGCAGTTCATGGTTAATTATATCAAGTTGTCTCTGCTGTCGCCTCGTCTCTCTTATCATTTTCTGTGAAAGACAAATGCTAAAAATCTTAAATGGTTATATTATCACAAAAGATAAAAATGGTAAGTCATAGTCTATAATATAGACAAACATCTTTCAGACAACCTAGAATTTTACAAATCTCAACAGTTTCAAAAAGGGTCTTTAGACTTGTGACGTTACCATAAAGTCGACAGGAGGTCAATGTAGTCCAATAAAATAAATGTGGGTCTATAAAGAATCAACGGTTTCATCGACTGACACTTTTACCAAGGGGTCGTCGTAGAGAGCATAACAGAGATGTTCTCATTTCAATACTAGAAATATTGATGTTTTCATTTCTTGGCTATCTTATTTCTTTATCCATTCTTGATGTCCCTATTGTCACCCTGTCTGTTGCGAGGACGTTAATAATATCAGTACATACGTACATACAAAACAAAACAAAATTAAACAAGAGGACCCACAAAAGAAGTTTAATTCCATGTTGTTCATCAGATTTTTAAACAAAAATGTCTGATATATAAAATTATCCTTTTGAAAACCTTTCCCTAGCTCCAATAGGGCCCAGGCCCGTTAAGTTCACCATTTGGAACTGACTTTTGCCCAACGATACTTATGTCTGAATATGATTAATATCGGCCATCTGGTTTTGAAGAAGATGTCGAAGATGTGAAAACGTTTGCACACAACGCACGAAAGACGGAATAGGAAGGACAAAGGTCATCACGGCCCGAAACATACTGTACTGATGAATATTACTACGTCGTTTTCTACACCGATTCTTAGTGTTTATGTATATCCTTCAGTGTGGGCATGTTACTCTATTAACCTATTAAAGACATTTTTTGATAAACCAAGGCGTTTTTGAGTTCTACATCACATCCCTGACATGTCCGGTTCTGTATCATTAAGGCCTCGTTACCCTTACCACTTTGGGGTCGAGGTGTGCGTGTATAAGATATAGATCCAGCTGTGTTTTTCACTTTTATAGGTTGTAAATTATGTACATGAAGGACCTCTCAGGGGGTAACTGAGTACTATTGCATTAAAAGTTCTCGGAAACCCTTACCAGGGTCGGATATGACACACTTCCTTTTTTTTGTAGGGAACTTTAGGTAGAAAGCGAATTCCTGGTAACGAAGTAAAAATTAAGACCTATGTCATTATTGGCATTAGAAGCAGAGTTTGGGTTAGTCTAGTGCATGCATAGGCCTGTAAAAATAGATATCTTTCTGATTTAGATTCCAACAGTAAAGTTTTGATGGAAATGTGACAAGCTAGTTTATGATGAGCAGTTCTCATATACATCAGTATATGATATGATAGAGAACATCAAACATTGTGAAAGGTAACCAGTTTAACAGAAGTGTGAAATGATACTGGCCGTTTATTACATAAAACGACATAAAATAAAAACAGGTATACAAGACCATGTTACATCACACTGGAACTGAGTTACATGCATGTCTAAATAGTTACACAAACTAACTCATTATGTGAAGGAGGGGGCAAAAGCTTCGCAACCCAGTACCCATCAAACTGAAGTGATGATAAGAAAAACAAATAAAATATTTGAGGTTTAGATATAATTCATTTCAAAATCTGTTATTTACAATAATGTTTGACATAATATCACATTCATCACAATGTACATAGAAAATAAATTCTCCTTAAATTTATGCAATGTCATAGGCTGCTATGTTAATATTTCATTCCAATGTTACATTTAAATATTTGTTGTATTTATTTGTGCGTGTTGTATTCAATAGCAAGCATGTAATTTGTGTTATATACTATGAATGAAAGTTTGTTGCTATTTAATTTTTTAGTGGAAGATGCATCAAATATAGTTCGTTGGAGTTTAACATAATATATAAAATAAATATTTAAACACAAATTATTTTGCTGTTTTATGCCTATCAACAGCCAAGACTGGGATATTTGAGGATGTGCCAGGAAATTGTAAATGGTTGGCTCGTTATACATATACTTCTATTAAAATCCTGGTCTGCCTGACAAAATTAATGTTTAAGTAAATATTGATGACTATCACTGATATTCCCATAATTGTGTATACACTCTCAATAATAAACTAATACTTGTCCGATTCCTGAGCAGTATATGTGAAAGTGTGTTCATATTAACATATAACTATATACTGGCCAGCTATAGGCACATCAGCTATTTGTTTTCACAGGAAATAAACACATGGCCAAATAAACATCAATGTCACAATGTCTTATCTACTATCTAGTAAAGACAGCTATATTTCAATCAGGGGAAAAAAAGGATACAGTGAGATGCTGAATTTCACTTAGTCACAATAAAAGGACATAAAGTAAAAACAATCCAAAATAAGACTTTTTCAAAGTGTAAAACATTTAAGTCTGGCAAATAATTTTCAACATTACATGTGTATTGGAAATCAATTCTGTCAGTGTTTATAGTCACAAAAAATGAAAATCATGCACAAATAAATAAATGCACAAGATCTATGATTTCCTTATTCTTTTTGGAAGCTTTGAATTGTCTATGGGCTGAACATTTTCCTGGTTTCCAAGGTGAACATTTCCATTTCTGGGGGCTAGGGCTGGAGCACCAACTGCTCTCATTGATGTCATCATATTTCTAACCTCGTAAACTGTTGGATTGCTGTTGTTTTCACATCTGTTACGATAATGTCCAAAATGTTGTTCAATTGGGTCCTGGTTAAAGTGGTGAGTAAGAACAAAGTTAGCTCCTGCGTTAAGCATAACTTTTAAGCATTCAGTAATGGAGCTCACACTTATCTTCAGTCCCTCTAAAGTCTGTCTGCTGAGCTTCATGTTGTTGTGTTGTGTCTGACTGAAGTCTCCTGGTCGGTTTTCAACACACCTGTTCCACCGATCCAGGTAACCCAGAAAATCATTCTTCAGCCAGTCTAATCGTGCATCAGCCACTTCTTTGTAGGCGTTTAGGTCTGGATTTCGTTTGTTTCTTCCTTCATACTAACTCCTAACATTGAGACAATCAAAAAACTTGTTGAAATGTCTGACAAATTCTACAGTTTCACTCACTGTGTCATCATAAAGTTCTTCTAATGTATTTGCCACTGAGCTGCTGAGCACTTGCACTGCCAAGTTCACCTTCATACAGCCAAAGGTTGTCATGTCAACATGAGCCCGTGTTAGTTTGGGACAGGGACTGTACAACGAAAGTTCGCCATGTTCCTCATACAGTCTAAGAATGTGAAGCCACGAGATGTCCTTTCCATTTTTCCACAGCTTTCTGGTGTTCCTGTGCGAGTATGAATTGCTGAAGCAGTTTCGGGTGGTCTTCATAAGGTGGGGAACATCAGAAATAAAAAATATCTTTCTGCTCTTATCCCTTGTGTTAACTGTTGAATATACAAGCACCTGATCTTCAGAAACTTTATGCATTTCAAAAAATTTACGATTGGATGACGCACCATCACAGGTTAAGAAAAGTACTTTCAGATTGATCATTTCAACAATATCCACAGCTTTCCATATAATTGGGTAAAGAAAGTCTGCAGTTATGCTTGTAGTTGCAAATCCTGCAAGTGGAAACTTCAAGTCGGCTGACACACCACGTACCATAAGCACAAGCATATATTTTGCTGTAGCACTTGCATTGTTGTTAGACAATTTCTGCAACTCCAAGATCTGATTTCCAACTTTGTCCAAGTTACAATATCCCACCTGCTCACCGGTATGTTTGTCATATACAAGATCCTCCTTTATTTTAATTTCATCAAAAAGTAATCCAACATAGCACTTGTACTGTTCATCTGGGGAGAACATTCCTTTCTTCGACGCTTCTTCCTGTAGCACATTAACAACATCTGCCTGAAATCCTAAAGCACTTGTAGTGTAGTGGGAATAGTCAAACAATGTTCGAGCACTTGGAAGGTTTACAAATCCTGAATCTCTTAAGACGTCATATGCTTTTGCAGACTTGTGTCTAAGATAAAGGCACCACTTGATAATCATGGGATGCCATCTCATGCCATTCTTCCCAGACCGAACAAACTTCAACTGCTGCTCCCAAAGAAGTCTCTGTAGTGAATTTGGATTGGGAAATGCTTTCTCCATGTCCTCCTTACAAATTCTGACTAAGTCAGACATTTCCTGGTTCTGATGGTCTGGAACACTAATGCCACACTGCAGAATTTGTCGATCAATGTCTCTCCTTTGTTTGTTGATGGTATGCTGCAGACTTTTTATACAGGTTTGTTGCTGCTTTATCTTGGAAATCAACATGTGTCTGCTCATATCACAATGTTTATATCTACTGCTAATGAGATCCTTGGTTGCTGACAGTTGAACTTGCTCCAAGAGACGTTGTTTTCTGGCACGCAAACATCGTCGATATGAAGAGCAGCTACTGCAGCGACTTCCCTCAACTAATAAGGTACAACTTACTGCTCTTATTGTCGAATGGTACGCGAGGTTGCCCAACTCTGCACAAAAGTCACCTTCTCTGTAGGCATGAATTTCTGTGGAATTTCCAGAGATAAGACCTGATCCGATTGGTGTCAAATCTTGGAATTCTTCGTCAGGATATCCAATGCAAACAGAGAAGTTCTGTAGTCTATCAAGCAATAGTAGCACTTTTGGGAAGGTGTCAAAAAGTCTAGGAAGATCATTCCACAGTACATGAGAATATGAAATTTTCTCTCTGTGTACATATATGGACGCTGTAAATTTTCCATCTAATATTATGGACAGTTTCACAGAAGTTTTTCCTGCTGCTTTGTACAGTTCTAATACTTCTATCTCCTCCTCCCTAATAACAGGAACAAAAGGCGAACACAGATTGTTCTTTACATTTCTTTTCAATGTCTCAAAACTTGAGAGTTCCTCTGGTGTGTCCTCTGCAGTTAAATCAACCTCTGGCACTCTGGTGTAATAGTCATGGTCATCATGGTCAAGTCTATCAAAACTTTGGCCTACTTCAGGGAGTGACACATAACTGTGATCCTGGAAAGTTGTCCTACAAGGCGACACTACATGCTC